CCTAACTAAGGTAGACAAAATATATTTTTTTTATCATTGTATTTTTATATAGAATTAATGTATATATAATATATGTATATATAAAAAGATATATAGAGAAATAAGATACATCTCAACACAAATAATTAATTTTTCATTCACTTTCCTTCCGATTTTATAAGAATTGATTTTGATAAGTAGGAAAAAAAGTTAATTCATCTACTTTTCCATTCTTCTTATTTTCCTTTCCTACCCAATATAATATTTTATTTATCTCTCAAACTTTTCATCATTCTATTTTTTCATCATACTAAACTGAACATTAGGGTCTGAAGGTTTGAATAGGATTTTAAATACGGGCCACGGAGCCAAACAGTTGGGTCCAGGGGAGTCAAAACGCAGCCCACGGCCATAGATTCCAAGCTACCTTCCCATCACGTAATGGGGAGAAGTGGCCCACGGGCTTTTGAATTGTCAGGATTTTTGGGCTAGCCCTTGGGCCTCTTTTTACAAGGCCGAATTGAATGATTTGTAAACTTTTGATGAGAACTTGGTAATTTGACAATTACACTTACTTTAAACATATGCTAAAGGTCACTAAAACATTGTTTGAGACATTCTATGACAAAAGTATTTGTAAAATTAATTAAAATTCATACTATATAAATATTAATTACACAATTAACTAAAATCCTTGTAGGGCATTCTAGTAAATACATTTATTTAGCAAAAAAAGACATTGAATTCAATGTTTCGATTAAAAACAAGTAAATCGTATGATTCTTACTTTGTGTTACGATTAAAATGATGGATGACTGTCACTTGACAGTTAAATTCAGGCATTTGAACAAATAAGATTTATGTTTTTATTTTTATTAAAAAAATTGTCTTTAACATTGTTCAAACTCTTGATCTGTTGGCAAGGTCTAGTAGTCTCGATCATCTCAATTAACTTATCATCGCTAATACTATTTGATTGAGAATGGATGTAATGTATATTGACTCTTATAAAAGAAAAATTTAGAGAAAATTAATTGTAGAAGATTTAAAAGCATAAGATGAGAATGAGAACTAACGAGAAAGAAATAAAAGAGAGAATAATCGACCCATATTTGTTGATCCAATCTAGAACCGGCATAGATTATAGGATCCAATACCTGGCCCAGACAAGAGCAACAGACAAATCTGAAATTACCGAGAAGCCCAGGATTTTGAAAAACTGCAAATTGACTCTACACTTTCTAAGAATTACCGAGAAGTCCAAAATTCTTCGTTTTCTTTATTACGTANAAATTACCGAGAAGCCCAGGATTTTGAAAAACTGCAAATTGACTCTACACTTTCTAAGAATTACCGAGAAGTCCAAAATTCTTCGTTTTCTTTATTACGTAAGTGTTTTCTCTTTCGTTTTCTTGCGTTTTCAGTTCCATTTTATTGTTTCTCATGCTTACAAGAATCAACTAAGACTATCTAGCTCCATTATTATTTTTTTTANTAAGTGTTTTCTCTTTCGTTTTCTTGCGTTTTCAGTTCCATTTTATTGTTTCTCATGTTTACAAGAATCAACTAAGACTATCTAGCTCCATTATTTTTTTTTTGNCTAAGAATTACCGAGAAGTCCAAAATTCTTCGTTTTCTTTATTACGTAAGTGTTTTCTCTTTCGTTTTCTTGCGTTTTCAGTTCCATTTTATTGTTTCTCATGCTTACAAGAATCAACTAAGACTATCTAGCTCCATTATTATTTTTTTTAAAGACTTATACCGATTGTCCTTTCGACTTCAAATACTAATTCCTATAGTTTAAACAGGTTTTAAATAGGTCGTCTGAGAACAAGGGTGTCTACTTTTTAAAGGATATGAGAAGTATTAGAGCCAAAACATCTAAATTTTCAGATGTCAGATTTAGCCACTGAACTGTTTTGAGGATCAATAATTATGATTAAAAAGTNAAAGGATATGAGAAGTATTAGAGCCAAAACATCTAAATTTTCAGATGTCAGATTTAGTCACTGAACTGTTTTGAAGATCAATAATTGTGATTAAAAAGCTAATTTAGGTGGGAAGTCCCTTTCAAATCCAAATTTTTGAATTAAATTAATGAATGGGGTACATTGGAGAAGAGTAATTGGAGAGTTCCACATTCCAAGAGTAATATGACGATTCTAGAATAATTTTTTTGTAAAATTTTTAAAATTGACCAACCAAAGTAGACGTTCAAAAAATAATAATACTTCCTCCTTCTTTTGAGNTTCAAATCCAAATTTTTGAATTAAATTAATGAATGGGGTACATTGGAGAAGAGTAATTGGAGAGTTCCACATTCCAAGAGTAATATGACGATTCTAGAATAATTTTTTTGTAAAATTTTTAAAACTGACCAACCAAAGTAGACGTTCAAAAAATAATAATACTTCCTCCTTCTTTTGAGGGTACGTGCTTTCCACTGTGACCAATGTACAAACGTTTTGCATTTAGTCAAGTCAATGGGAAACCACGTGCTGGTCCACAAGAAGACATTTGAACCAGGGTCCCCCGCGTTGTCTAAATTGAACCACCACTTTTATAACCAATGGCATAAATCGTTTTAACCTCTTTTAATTTTGAATTGTTCATTGATAAATTATAATGTGCAATAGAGTGAGTCAACACATTCCCCCACACTATTTTTTATTGTTTTATCAATCAGGAGTATCTAAATTAGTTTATGCACATATCGATTAATTTTTTTCAATTTCTGTTCTAATCAAAAACAGATTATCAATACCGAAATTAGTACCCCACACTAATTGACCTCACGAACTCCATAACAAAGTGAAACCATCCTTTCTTGTACTTACCCCTCAAAAATAGAGGTGCAATTCATGTGGGTTGTGAACAGATTGAGAAGTGAATTCAACCCACGTTCTGAAATTTGATCTCAAGTTGAGTTTAATCCAACTTGACTTTTAACCCAAGTGTATATTATATGAAGATTTTTGAATTTCAAGTTAAATTTGTATTTTACAATTCAAACTAAGAGTCAAGTTGAATTTCAACCATCGATTTCAACTCGAATTAGTAAATTCAAGATGCAGAATACAAAATAGTCGAATTAAACTCTACTTTGGGACTTTTTTTGCTATGGACTTCGAAAACTCGAAACCCCAACCAAATACTTTCTGAATTTAACCCATGTTGGGATTGATCTGCCAAAATTGTATGGATCCTAGTCTTCAAGTCGGTTAAAACAAAGTTTGGACTACCTACTAATGGCTCTGCTCGTTCACAACCATAGACATTTGGTATCTTTTGCATTGCTTGAAGATCATCCTCTCTCCTTCTCTTCATATTTTTCAAATTATATTGAAGTGAGAATGGATGATGAGTTAGCAAAGAGAGAAAACTGCTGCATTCCCTCCACTTTTTCTTCCAACCAAACAATGAAAAATAGCTCCAATTTCACTCTTCTTTCTTTTTTTCTTTTATTTATTTTTTCATGTTACACACTCAGACGAAAAAGATGCAATGTAGTCCAAAACCACGCATTTGTTGCTTTGTCCACTAGTTCTTTTTGTTTTTTTGGTTGCATTTGTTATATGTTGCGATTTGTATACGCTTTTACCTTCACATCATTCAATTTTAAGTGTTTTACTTAAATTTGTGTACTAAATTCTACTAAAATGGGTCATTTGCAACCTTTTTATTTAATTTTTGGCGTAATGTGAGAATTTAATATTTCATTGTGTAAATTCAGAATTTAAAGATTTTTCAGGGTTCAAAGTGTCGTTCTGCCAAAAATGAGAGCCCCCAAACACACACTAGAAAAGAAAAAACTGAGTGTTGCTCCTCCTTGTTGAGCCCCCATGCATGACTTCACCAAACAACACTAAAAAAAATTCTGCTCCGCATTTTCCCCCCCTTCCTTTTCCATACTTCCATTTTCCTTTATCTTCCATCCTTTTCTCTTTTTCTTCACATATACCAAACATGGGATAACCTTACTAGGTCTTGCAGTTGCAAACACAACTGCCGAATTCAACACAAAATCGATATAAAATTAATTAGATTTGAATTTATTCGGATTACATTATGGTAGTAAACAATTATATTCGTTAAACCCATCAATTAACTAAATGAGTTGACACAAATATCAAATACGACACGAATCACATAAATACTACTGATACAAAACACATAACAAAGGCGACATGAAACTAATTATGCACTATTAAAAATGAGTCAGATATAGATTCAACAAATTCTAACAAGTCCAAATACGATCCGTTATTGGTCCTAATTAAATCTTTAAGATATTGGACATTAGTTACCTTCAAATTTGTTTTCCATAACCTCTAGCTACCAAGTCTGATTTTTGGTTTTGTTTTAAAATAATAATACATATAAGACTAAGATCAGATTGGACGTGATAAAATGATTTTAATTATAAGCTAGTTTCCTTCTTTGGTCATTCTACTACATGTTAGGTTCATTAGAACGTATTTTGTCAAAATGGATTTAAGAAACTAACTCCAACAATTCATAGTATTGCCGGAATGATCACATGATACAATCTAAAAGAATGACACGTGGTTATTTCAATCAATTAACTTAAGGAATTGTCTAATTAAGGATCAAAGTGATACGCAATAAAATTTTAAGGATCAAATTGATAAAATTAATAAAATAAGGATCAAACTGAAAAACCGAACATACTTTAAGAATCATCTATAAACCTTGTAAGTTATCATATTTCCTTTGAGTTTGTAGAAAACTTGTGTACGAAGACACGCTTAAACATAGTACATCGCAGTCAAGAGAGATTCAAAATTGTCTTTGTATATCGTGGAATAACTAAACTTTAGTACATGAAAAGAAACTTCCAAGAAATGGATCTGACATTAATAATATACTTTGTCAAACTATTTACCACCGCCATATACCACCTATATATGTCCCCATGATGCAAGATCAACCGTCCATTCGGCCACCGATTCACCAGTTGTGACAACAAATTTGAATCCAATTACAACTTATAACAAAACATGGAAGGTTCTCAGAAGGGTAAGGCCATGCAAGAAGAGGAAGAGAAGGGAAAAGAGGAAGTACGATACCGGGGTGTCCGAAGGCGGCCATGGGGGAAGTATTCGGCGGAGATACGCGACCCGTCTAGACAGGGGCAGCGGCGGTGGCTTGGAACATTTACCACTGCGGAGGACGCAGCTCGGGCTTATGACCGAGCTGCCTTTGGCTTAAAAGGCCATCTTGCCATCTTAAATTTCCCCAATGAGTACCATCCCATACTCACAAGCCCTCCACATCCACCATCATCATTTTCATCGTCCCCATTATCTTCTTCATCATCGTCATCGTCGTCTTCTTCTTCTTCGTATGTTCCAATTGAGCGTTTCGAGAAGGAAAGTTCATCAAGTGGACGACAGAGGGAAGTCATTGAGTTGGAGTACTTGGATGACAGTGTGTTGGAGGAGCTTCTTGAATCAGATGAAGAGAAGAAGAAACACGGATAAGATTGAGACCCAAAATAATTCCCTCTTGTTTGGTATTCTTTTACCAAATTTTCTCCTTCTTTTGGTCCTTGGAAAGCATGAGAATTGGGAAGGAAAAAGCATTTAATTCTTTGTAATTTCCAATAACCAAACGTGTCCTTTGATTGAATTTCAGCGTTTGAGCTTCCTTGGCCCCCATCTAATTTTTGCAACAGTGTTGGGTATTCGAATATTCTAGTTTTTTCTATTAGGTTGAAATCGTTTAACTAGAATGACTTTTTATACTTATAAATAATTAATAAAAACCTCATACACTAGGTTGTTTTTTTTAATTGGCACTTATTTTGGAGATTTCTACGGTTAGACATTATCTCGAAATAGTTTAGAATATAAAACTATGTAGATATAGACGTATATTGATATGAAGAAAATGTAAGCATAAACAAATATGGTGACCTCACTGCTAGGGTAAATTTGTTTACGTGCGGTCTGGATTTTAAAATTATTAATTATCATTTATATTTTGCCCAATGTATAATGGATGTGCGTGAGGAGGAAGTTGGAGGCAGGGGGGAGTTAAGGGTTAAAGAGCAAGTGAAAAAAGTCCAATGAGTGAAAAAATACCACTGAGATTCAAATTATTAAATTAACAAAGGAAAATAGATAGAATTACTTGAACGTAGTCATTTGTAGCTTTGTTCACTAGTTTTTTTTTTTTTTTTGGTATTTGTTAACTATGTTGCAATTTCTATACGCTTTTACTTGTACATCATTCAATTTTAAATGTTTATCTTAAATTTTTATACAAAATTCTACTAAAAAGGACCCCATATATGACCACTTTTTTATTTTTTTTTCTATTGAAAAAAAAATGGATGAGAACAAAAAAGAGTGCACAGAGACCAACTGTTAGTGGATCGTTACACCACATGACCCTATTGATATGGTGTAATAGTTACACCCAATATTTTTTTTGATCTTTTTGCATTTTGTACCCCAAAAATTATCTCGATTCCCACTTTGCACAAAAATTATCTCGATTCCCACGCTACACCCTAAATGTCATAAATTAGTTCCAATATGACCCTCGAACTATCATTCGTTTCAAATTTCATTAAAAATTGATGCACATGCCACTCAAAAATATGAATTGTGAGTTTATATTTTTGCCCAAGACCAATACACGTGGATGACAAGTAATTTAATTTTTAACAGAATTTGAAACGAATGTTAGTCTGAGGGTCACATTGAAATTAATTTATGTCATCCGGGGTGTAATATGAAAAAATTAATTTTTCAAGGTATAAAATAAGAATTAAGATACATTTCAGAGCACAAAATAAAAAAAAAACTTTATTATTTCCACACGAGGACTAGAGTGGTTACTTGCCCACTCTTACTTTTGGACCACCTTGGATGATGATTCATAAAGTTATTTAATACACTATATTTGCCTCCCCTAAATTTATGAATATTTTAATCAATGTTCTAGTCTTTTCTCTTTTCAATAAATTTGTTGCCCATTAACCCTCTAAAACAAATGTTTTATTCTTGAATTGAGTAAATCAGATGTAACTATCATTATCAATTTGTATATTGACCAAAAAATAATATTTCTCTTCATTTAACACAATGTTCACTACTTTTTAAAAATAATTTTTAGTTTTTATTTATCATTTTTTTAGTAATAGTAGCTCCTATAATCCAACAAAATACGATTGTATATAAAAGACAAAAAATTATAATCCAACGATATTTCAAGCCATTTCAAACACGAAATTTATTTATAAGATCGACAATAATCTCAACTAAGTTTTGCAAATAAATGAAGAAAGATTTTACTAAGGACTTGTGATTATGTGCATTTATAAAAAATTTGTGAAAAATTAATTTACATTTAATTAATATACAAAATTTTAGAGATTTTAAAGAACGTTCTATTTCGTTGAAATACATAATTGTGTTAAAATGTATTGAAAAAATTATTTTTTATTTTTGTTAAATTAAAATTTCATAATAATTTTGTCTTTAAGTGTTAATTTTTTGTTGTTCTTGACTTTAATTTTTTTTGTATCAATTAGTGAATTATTTTTAGTTATATTTTATTCCCTCATAGATACTTTCGACTGTGCCCCTTAGTTGGCACAAACCCGAATAAGACACGGTTCCTACAAACATGGCTTATGCATAGCACGGAAATAAACCTGATGATGCATAATTAGAATTGAGTCATATATAAATTTAAAAAATTTTGACTGGACACTGGACAGTTCATTATCAATCCTATAAGACTAAGATAGAGGGAACTAAAGACCTTTAAGCTAGCAAATCTGGTTTTGGATTTGTTTTAAAATAATAAACATTTAAGACTAAGATGAGATTTGGCCTGATAGAATAATTTAATTATAAGCTAGTTTCCTTCGTGGGTCCCTCGTAGCGTTCTAATATGACATATTCGGTTCATTACAAACAAATTTTGTCAAAATGAATATAAAAAAATAAACACATAAGGATGTCGCGTGTGGAGTAAGATGGGTTTGTATTAAAAAATATTTCATTTATATTTGTTGCTGGAAAAAAATTTGATGCAAATAAAGTGAATGACAGAGTGAGGCACGGACTAGGTCGTTCTCTTAAAACGATTTGCGCCCTTTTATGAAAGAATCACAGAGCGGAAGACAGTAACACATTGTCCCCAGATACAACAGTCCAACCTACTAATTATTGTTTCACTCAGATCTGCACAATCGAATAAAACAAAAGTTTTACACACACCTTTGAATATTGCCTATAAACTTATATATTAAAAAAATAGGTGATATTAGATGTATATCTCTATACCAAATTTTTTATTTCAGTTAGGTGAGCCAAGGGGATTCACTACCCGGGCTGTGGACTAGGCACATTAACGTGGTTCGTAGATTTTAGAAATCCGTGTCTCCTTCACTAGTTTCACTCCCGTGTATAAGAGATAATGCCCAAATATCAAATTTGGAAAGATTGCCACCTCCAACCGCATGATCATCTGCTGCCAGCTTCAACGAGATTAATGTAGGAAATTTCCCCAGAAATTGTTGCACTGATTTTTAGCTCTGAAAATCTTGTATTTCCGTTACATTTTACAGCTACACTTGTATCTACATATACTGATCTCAAATACATAGGAATATGAAGATTTCTCCAAATTGTTTCTTGTTTACTGCGCACGTGAGAGTTCCAAGATCTCTCTATAATTCAAAAGCTAAATATAACTAGTATATATATATATATACTTAAATACTTTTGGATATTTTGTTGATATATAATTGAATTTTCACACATAAAAAACACTCTTTTAGTTAAAATATTCTAACACCTATTTTGTTTATTAATTCGTATCTAATGAGTCGTATCATATCAGATTCGTATCAAACATTCTAATTTTGTATCGCGTTTATGTCGTATTAACGAGTCGTATTATATTTTGATACTTTTACATATAAGTATCAATCGTTTCATATCCTATTCAATTAATTAATCTTATTAATTGTCTTAATATTTATCTTATTCATTGATTAGTCGTGTTCTATATAATGCCGGGTACACTATTTTTTCATTCAACTAACCATACATAAATCAAATCTGTATGAAGTAAAGTACATAAATTCATCGTATTTCTTTTTGACTTCCATAAAATAAATCGGATTAAACATTAAATTAAATTAAATTACATAAGTCTTTATTCAGGTTTGGTTTAAGTAAAATGTGAAAAAAAAAAATTAAATTAGTTAAGGGAAAATGGAAAAAAAAGAAACTCAAAAATTTTATCAATTAAGTGAAATTGTGACCATAATGGAGAGGATTAATTAAAGCATAATTTATCATATTTCCTTGAGTTCGTAGAAAACTTGTGTCCGAATACATGCTTAAATATTGTCCTTAGCAGTCAAAGGAGGTTCAAAGGTCTGAGTATAATTCACATGTGAACTTAATACATATAAAAAGAAACTTCGAAGAATTGCATTCTTGACATAAATATACTTTATAGAAGTGTTTGCCACCGTCATCCAATACCTATTATATATTCATAGGGTTAATTACAAAATACCCCTTTTAATTTGGGGTAATCTTTCATTCAATTTTTAGGTTTTAATTTTAACAAATAGTCCCCTTTAAGTTTGAATTTTTTACAATTAACTTCAACAGTTAATTTCAGACCATAAAAAATGTCAGAAGTTAGACATGAAAAATTCATGTGATCTTTATTTTGTTGAAAATATATAATTATCCCTAGAAAAGTGTGTGTATGCGCGCCTGTGTGTTGGTGTTGGGTGGAGATGGAATTGGAGGTATAGGTGAAGATGAAAACGAACATGGTGTTGTGTAGTGTGTTTGTGTTGGGCTGATGGGATGTATTTTTGTCTTAATATTTCTGGTTCTTTACTTTTTAGGGATAGAATTGGTAACTAACAAAAAAATATAGAAAATAATATAAAGGATGGAGAGCGTAATGGTACTTTCATCTTTCGGTCATTGTTGTCAATCAATTTAGTTCACTTGAAACTTGGAAAAGATAAATTGCAGAATTTGAAATCATATGGAGTGTATTGCAATATGTGGCATAATTGGAGGGGACAAATTGTAATTAACCCATATTCATATGATGCAATATCAACTTGTCGTCTAACACCTATGTGAATATTATATATTCATATGAGGTAATGCCAACCGTCATGTAACACCTATATACATTCATATGATGCAGTATTAACCCATTGTTCCAGCGAATTTGAACCCAAATATAACTTATAATAGCAAATTAAACATGGACGGTTCTCCAAAGGGTAAGGCCATGCAAGAAGAGGAAGAGAAGGGAAAAGAGGAAGTACGGTACCCGGGTGTCTGAAGGCGGCCGTGGGGGAAGTTCTCGGCGGAGATACGTGACCTATCTAGACAGGGGCAGCGGCAGCTGCAGTGGCTTGGTACATTTGATACTGCGGAGGAGGCAGCCCGGGCTAATGACCGAACTGCCTCTAGCCTAAGAGGCCATCTTGCCATCTTAAATTTTCCCAATGAGTACTATCCCCAACCCACAAACCCTCCATATCCACCATCATCATTTTCATTGTCG